CACATGCGAGATATGCTCCTAATTGAACACCCTTTACATGTCAACTGAGATGTCACACCGACTCGCTCTACTTGAAGTGGCACAAGTATGGATTGTACATGATATGCTGTCAGCTGTGGAGTTCACGCATTGGCCTCTGACTTGGCTCCTGAACCTTACTCAAAGCACAAGGTCTCCATAAAAGTAATCTGGAATGCATCTCGACTTCATCATGCGATATCAAATGCAAATTCTGGTGTGATGTTAAATTCAGGTGTGATATTAAACACAAATTTCTAAATGATTATGCCAAATATTCATCGGATTTTTAAAAGAAAGGGAAATACACACACTAATCGCGACAGATATTAGGTACAAAACCGTATTTGCAACATTTCATTCACCAAGTCAAGATGCACAAATACGAATTTATCACGTTTGTTAGTATGTTCATAAATACAGTTTAAGGCAATTAATACACCGGAGGTCTAAGTTATAATACACCTCTTTCGTTTGTGTGATAAATAGTGAAAAAGACATACATGCCAGAAAGTATACAGTCAGATCCACAAAGATGACCCAGTCTTGAAAAGTGGAATGGGCCGGGACAGTTCGCATTCAGAAGGGCTCATATTTGTTGTTGAAACCCTTGCAATTAATGCTTGGTTGAGTAATCCTTCCGGCCGACAACTCGTGAATGGTATCACTGAAATGGAAATCCTTGGGTTGCAACTTGCATGTTGCAGACCCTATCGCCATGGATTGGAGACTACAATCTTAGTACTATTTATTTGATCAGTACTAAAAGTTGCAATGGGAAGGAAAAAAATAACCTTTGCAACCAACCAGTGCAAATCATGCCATTTTTTAACGAAAATTACGTTTAACGAAATGCTTCAAGAAATACAAGTTCACACATGTGTCAAGAAGATTAAGCCCAAAACGCATCACGGATATGCCACAAAGCCTTTTTTTATCCAGAAAGAGCAAGACGCGCTCGCATTGTAAACGGAAAAGAATCAGGTTTCCAGCTCGTGGACGTCAGACAAAGGAAGCCTGGAGTCCCAAGTTGTATATAAGTTATTGTATTGTAGATTCCTCGCGCCAGAAAAGAAGTCCACATCTCGGTGGGATTTTTGTGTCTATAAGTTTGTTTTTTTCTTCTCTGCAAAATCACTTTGGAGATTTTAAAAGATCAAACCCTTTTACAGATATCCTGATTATTTTGCACGTACCGTCCAAAGCAATGGAAAGTAAATTAACAAAAAAAAAAACTAATCACAAGAAATAAACCTCAACATCTATCACCTTTCAATACTCTGGATTAAGATAAAGCCTATCAATATTCGTATCTAAAGTCATTCAAAAGAAATGAAAACCAGACCAAAATAATGGGGTGGGATATTTTCGCTGCCAAAACGAAAAAAAACAGAATCCCCAGAGTGTGGCTTCTTTGCGAGGATCAGTAGATGAAGGCAATAATGTCAATAGTTAGTTGATACTGCGTTCTGTGATTAGTATGTTACCTCACCCAGTACGCGGGCTCGCCAGGCATGTCCGGAGCGAAGGGACGGGAAAGTATATCTCGGTTTTTTGTATTTCGATTCTGATTTTCCTCTCTCGTTAGTCTATGTTTCTTTTCTTTACAATTTTGTGTCAGTGCATATGCGTTTCCTATAATATGTTCAGTGTCCAAAGGGGTAGGGGATATAAACTTTTTTTTTCATTGAGGTGAAAACGTACGTCAGAAGCTGGTAAGGATTGAATGAGCGTAACGTGACCAAATGACATAGTTGTATCTTAGAAATTGTTTTACCAAATTGTTAATTATCAGTTATATATATTGTCAACAGCCTCATCAACCTGCCAAGTGCATTCTTGTTGTCCTCTAACTGTCTTTGGTCACAGGTTTGTAATATTTCGCTATACTCAGTCTTTCAGTCTTTCGCACAAAATCTATAATCCCTTTTTTTGTATCTCTTGATATATTTTGTCAATTCCTCTTTCCTTTCTAAATCGAAGCATATACTCCCGACCCTTCGCAAGGCAAATGCCACGAGGCGAAAGTACTGTGGTTGTCAAGATGAAATTGTTGGACGCAGTTTGTGTATAGTTGTTTACGCTGAGTGTTCCGTTGCCTGTCAGACCACGTGTCAGACGAGGGCAGGTGGAGGGAGCAGGGAGGGGCAAGGGGCAAGAACAGTTGCAAGATGTTGAGACACTGTGAATTAAAAGAGTTTTTTTTTTTTTAACAATACATGATTTTCATTTCATGTCTGTGAATAATGTCTCTTATATCTCGGGTTTATTTGTGAACTTAGCTTCTGATGTATCAACATCATTATCTACGCTTATCTCTCTACGGAAGCTATTCCTAAAGCACAATAACCTTTCTGTTCGAAATTCCCTTTTCCCTTTTTCAAGCAAGGCTAAAACAAGGGAGCCCCATCTACCCACTACTATTACCCACACGACAGTCAAAGTCTTGCCCCGTGCCCCTCCCAGGAACGACCGAGCGACCTGCCCCAGTCAGAGAATAACGAATTTGACTGTTTTGTTATAGTGAGCGAATGGACGGGACGACGCCCACTGTGTACGTTGTTATGAGGAGGTGGGCGTGGTCAGGATGTGGGACACGGCCGAGGGGCAGAGTTGGGCATTGTCATTCCATGCCTGATGCCCATGCCCGAATGGCAGTCCTCCTGACACAGCCCACAACCTCTGTCAGATAAGTAAATAAATAGAAAAAAGTATACATTCTTCGTTTTATTTTTTCATCGAAACTAGATGATAATCTACGCTTAGTGTACAAAACAATGCAAATCCTAAACTCTTACATTACTGAACAACCCATTTCATGGCGTTGACTGCTATAACTTAAAATAAGGGGATCATGCCTCAGTTTCACACCAAGACATGTCAGATATTCTCACACGATAATTATTGAACACAGTGCAATTGAAATGTTCTAAATCAGTGCCATTAAAAAAATGGAAACGTACAAAAGGAGAGGGAAATACAGTGTGTTTTGACTGTGTTGACTAAACAAAAATATGTTATAACCAACAAGTGCAAGAACATACGGTGATAAAACGGGGTGCAGTGCATATCCTCAGAGGACTGAAATTACTTAACGAAGTGTATCACTTCGAATGAATAAATTATAAAATATATATAACAATTATTCATAAGCACACACACTATCTAAGGATATCTTTATGTATTATGAAAATAGAAATGTATCATTCTACATGAATTGCTTCATGTTTGACTGAAAAAAATCATATTAGTAAATTTAGCTGATAAAATAGGAAAATATAAAATTCTGGAAAGTAGAATAATAAACAATTATCACTTATAAATAGTATTCAAATCTTCAGTAATATATAAACAAGACTTAGATAAAGACTGTTTTATCATATTTCATTTTCAATATACAACTTGATGAGATCACGAAAACATAGTACTTACTGAAATCGTTAAAAATTATGAATACTTTGACTTAAACAAAAAACATAATATATAAGAAAACACACAAACAGACATTCATACAACCTGAAATATGTAGCCAAGCCATTTACATGCAACGCCAACTATCAAACTTATTTACAACTCCGAATCCTATGAACGAATGAAGACAGTTCGGTAACGTGCTGGAGGATGGCATCTTTGTGGCACCTGGAGAGAGGCAAGGCACTCCTGCTCCAGAGGGAAGTCAGGTCACGGTTCACAAAGGGCGAGACTTCCCACGTCAAAGGGCGAGGGAGGTGGCCGTCCTGGCGCGAGGAGTGGCGTACTTCACCAGTGTTTGTTTCTGCTGAATACAGAGAAGGTTTTTTACGTTTCACGGGTTGGAAGCTGCTGGCATATGCTAATGATGGAATTTTGTAAAGCTGGTATTTTATAACTGCGGTTGGAAGTGAAAGCGGTAGCTTTGATGTGAGGATGAAAGTTAAGCACAAAGCCTTTGAACTTTATCAGATGAGGCGAAATAGCATAATGCTGATTTACTTTGTGCCTAGTTCAGTGTTGGTTAGTCCTGCTGGTGCAATATACTGTCTAATTATTCCACAGTCTACAGGTGAGTGCAGTTGACGGAATACGATACGGAACTAAAGACAATGCGTATTACATCTCAAGGCAGGAATAAGCCGGATTCAAAAGACATTTCATCTCTTGTTAAGAGCATTATTTGCTTTTTTGTTTTATTTATTTGTATTTTTTGTTAGCTTAAACTTCTTCTCAACTATTTGTTTTGCTCTACTCTTGCATTTGAATCCCACAAGGCCAACGAAAGCGCAGAACGTGTATCAGCAGCGGGCGTGGGCGTACCATGTGCTGGGCGCGACACCTGGGCCGTGCTACTTATCTCAGCTGGAGGCCGGCGCGTCACAGCATCCCCAGCACACGATGTAGGGTTGCGGTTGGCAGGTCCGAGCGGGACGGGAAGCGCGCGCGGCTGGTGCGGGCTCGCTGTAGCAGTGCTCTACTCGGGAGGTGTCGAGAGAGGAGGCCAGTACCCGCGGGTCGTCGTGCCAGTGCTGGTGCACCCAGTCGATGGGGCGGTGCACGTGCCGCGCCACCAGCTCCAGAGTCACGAAGCCGGCACCCGCCCGCCACGCGTCCCGCCACGCCGCCACCTGCGCCCCCGCCACCACCTCTTCCGGCGCCAGACGCTGCGGGGCGCGCGGCTGCCTGCGGAGCCCAGAGGAGGCTTCGCGGGGGACTTCCGGGTGCTCGCGCTCCGTTCTCTCGCCTCTTTCGGGTCTGCAATCAAGCAAGTGATCTTTCCTCGTCGTACCGGGCAAGTGAGGAGGGGAGGGAGGGTATGCCCGCACTACCTCGTAGCCCACGCCTGGTACTGGTAATGGTACTTACTGGTACTATCAAACTAACCGGGTGCCTGATATTATGAGGTTACATTCGTTACACCAATTCGATAAGACATACAGGTAATATACAATGGTACACCAGTAATGGGAGAAAAAAAGGTACACTACGGGGCACTTGCCGCACTCGTCTCACCCATTGTGGTGGCGACTCGGGTACGCGTGGTGCGCGTGGGCGTGCGGCGTCGCCTTCGGCCCCCACAGCGCCGACGACCCGCCGCCCTGCAGGTTGGTGCTCGAGCCCGGCGGCGACCCGTTCGAGTGGCTGGGAAAATCAGGGGCTCTAAAAGTCTTGTCCTTAAGGTCTTTTAAATAAATGATGGTGAGCATGTGAGGAAAAGTAGTATAAAATTCGTGGCATGATTCAATTTGCTTTCAACTACAACACTGGTGGAAATAAAGAAGTGTACCACTTTTACTCTATCTATCAGTTTATGTGCTTAATACACCGCTCCTGATCTATCTACTTATCTATCTGTCTATTTACCTGTCTACCTACATGCCTGATTGTCTTCTAAATACTTCTGTCTATTTCTATATACCATTACGTTTGTTTATTCATGCTCGAACTCTTAGAGAAAAAAGGACGATGTCGATGTATATTATGGAACGAAACCACACTAAAATTTCTATTGTGATTCCCCGCCTGAAAATGTGCCCATTATCACTAACAATACCTTGGATTTTGTACATCTTACATTACTGTAACCGTTTCAATTCCACCCCCCCCCAAAAAAAAAAAATAATAAATAATAATAATAATAATAATAATAATAATAATAATAATATTAAAAATATATATATAATAATGATAATAATAATAAATAAAAAAAAATAAATAAATAATAAATGCTGTCTCCAGAATCGCCAAAGAAACAGAGCCAGTTCACTTACAGAGGAAGCGTGTCATCGTCATTATCCATACGTAGGTAGAACCGAGCCAGGGCGAGGCTTATCACAATGGCTGGCAGGAAGAGCAGCAGACACCAGCAGGTAGCCAACCACAACGCGTTCTGGAGGAGGAGTTATGTAACAAATTAGCTGTAGTTATTTACTTTGTGTTCGTTTCCTCTTCACCTTACACTGCAGCTATTCCTGTTTAGTTACGTTATCGAAACCACACTTCGATAAATGTTCTTCTGTTCTTTAGGTCACATTAACCGAAGTAACATACTATACAAGTGATAAAAAATGAACATGGGAACATTTCCGGTAACATAACAAATATACGTAGCGTCCAGATTATGCTCTGTAGATATTTTCATGCATTCTTAATGAGATGATGATGCTGAATCAACATATATACATACAAATGATCCGCCATTAATTCGCATGGCCAAACGACACGTAAACAAGCAGACAACACTAAACGAATCCAAATTAGATGCAGCTGACCATAATAAAAAAAATTAAAAAATGAAAGAGCAAGGAAAGAAAATAGAGAACTTGCCAGAGGTTCAATGATCCCGTTGCAGGTGACGCCGCGAGCAGAGTCAAAGAGATTCCAGACGGGCGTGCAAGGGGCGACGTTCAGGAGGGCGGCGTTGCGGACGTGCTCGGTGTACTGGCGGGTGTAGCTCAGGATTCTCTCGACGTAGCCGCGGGCTTTCTGCGGGAGCGGGGCGGAAGGGAACGCGTGAGGTCAAGGGAGGGATTCTTCAGAAACAGTCTGATGT